GGCTTTGCGCTGTTGGCCCCTCGCGGCCCCCGTCGGGCCCCGAGGCCGCCATGGCCGCCCGCAGCCGGCCTGCTCTGGGTACCCCGGCGCGTCGGTGGGCTCCAGTCAGCGGCTCAGGTGGAAAGGCTCCCAAGTATTTGTTAGCTACTCTTTTTATTTTTATTTTTCCCCCGTCAGGTTTCAAACCCCTCGTCCTTGCTTGCTTGCTTGCTGAACCAGTTTTTGTTTATGTATTGATCTCTGAGGACAAATGAACGCTGAAAGCATATGTGTTTAAGGAAAAAGTTTAGGACGCAGCCCCGGCGGATGGTGTGAACCGTCGTTTAGCCCCGACCTGGCTCTGCGCTAACGTATTTCGGGAAAGCTCTTGGAACCTTCCACGCGGCAGGTGGTGTGGCGAGAGTGCGAGCTGTCCCATTTGTGCGGAAGCCTGGACATTACCAGGAGGGGAAAGGCGATGCTGTCCAGTTTACAACCCGGAAAGAGCAGGTTGGATTAGGAAGCTGGAGAGACACGTGGAAAGTTATCTTTCTGTTCAAGAGAAAAGCTCGTTAGAAACGTATAGCTTGGTAAAATAGCGAATTGTTAGTGAACTGCCTCCCCCATCGAAGTGTATCGTGAGGCTGGCTATTCATTGGGGAGTTGATATCATGTGCAGAATACACTTTATTACAACAGGAGTTAAGGTGGTAGTTTAAATAGGGCTAAGATTCCTTCTGTTAAGTCAATACATAAACACCAAATGTGGGAGTTTGCAGAGGCCTTGGCCTTATGATAATTGACCTTAACATAGTTACCAGATTCTACAGGAGAAGGTGGGTACTGTTAGCACTGCTAGTTACTGTTATGTCCTTTTTTTCGGGCAAAAAAACAAACCAAACCAAAACCAAAAAACAATAAACCTGCCTCAGTGTACTCAAGAGACCAGAGAATGCACTTTGTGACTATCTGGTTATGCTGTTGCAGGCGCTGGCCTTTGAGAACTTGGCAGACCAGTGCCTACTCTGAGAACTCATACTTCTTGGAGAGTTTTAAACAACTACTGTGATAGTATGAAATCTAAAGGGAGTATCTAATTTTGAGTTGGGAGCTGTGTTGACTAGTTTTTTGCCAACTTGACAAAGGTAGAGTCATGGGGGAACCTCAATTGAGAGAAATACTTCCTTAAGATTGGCCTGTAGACAAGCCTATGGGGCATGGTCTGCATTAATGGAGGATGAGGAAGGACCCAGCCCATTGTGGTGGTGCTGCCCCTAGGCAGGTGGTCCTACAGTGTGTCATGAGAACAAACTGAGCATGCCATGGAGCAAGAAGGAAGTGCTCCTCCATGACTTCTGCTTTAGTTCCTGCTTTGAATTCTGGCTCTGACTTACCTCAGTGATGGAGTTGTGATCTGAGAGTTGTGAGCTGTAACGATCCTCTTCCCCTTTTCCCCCAAGTTGCTCTTGGTCAAGGTGTTTTATCACAGCAACAGAAATCTCAAGTCAGGAACGGAAGGTGTGCCTCAGAGGAAACTCTGAGGAGTTGGACAGGTGAGTACAAATTTGGAAGGCTAGAGGAAGGGTGTTCCAGACAGGAAACTCCACCCGAATGAAACACTGAAGCTTGAGAAAGTTGAGTTCTTAGGGGTGGACAGTTAATGCCCAGACTTGAGAAGCCCAGGTGAAGTTTCCAAATATGGAAGGTAGAAAGTCATAGTCAATATGAAGAAAGTGACTAAGTACACTGGCCTGGACAGTTGGAGGGTATTATTCAGGTAGAAATTGAGGACCAGGAAAAGGTACAGCTGATGTAAATGATAGGCTACTAAATGTGTAGACTGTGGGGAGCCACACCTTTATTCTGGTAAGTTGAGAAAATGTGTCTGCTTTCAGAACTTGAATTCTTAATAATGGTGTGATATTCGAAAATGTATGAATGTGTGGTTTTGGTTATTGCAGTGCATGATGGATGATGTTGGTGTGCTGGCATTAACTATGAGGGGTACAGGTATGCTAATGTTTTATGATGTTTGGGCAGTCTGCCATGTCAGTGAATTATCTGACCTAAAATGCCAGCAGCATCCCATGGAGAACCATTTTGGAGACAAATAGGACAGAGAAAGGATAATGATGACCTGGATTAGGTGGTAGCAATGGAAGTGGAGTAAGCAAAGACTCAGACACTGGGTGAAAGGGTGTATTAATGTGTCCTGGAGCAGTGGTGTTGCTAGCAGACATTATCAGAAGACAATTACAGATTCTCAGTAGGAGAGTATGTTAACTTTATTATAGAAAACTAACACACAGAGCCGAACAGAGACACATTGTGTACCCAGGCTCAGCTATGATAAACTTTTGGCCAATCTTATTTCTTGTGTACTCCTGGTGGATTAATTTGAAGTGTATTTCAGACATACACTTATTTTTCTATAAAGATTTCAGTATGTGCTTCTAAAAGGTATACTATTAAAGTATGAGTGTGTTGGTAATGTACAGGGCCTGTTTATAAAGGTGTAATT